GCTTCTTGTCCAAGCTGATCCTCATATCGTATATATATATATATATATATATATATATATATATATATATATATATATATATATATATATATATATATATATATATATATATATATATATATATATATATATATATATATATATATATATATATATATATACATGGGGCAGTGAAGATCGTTGATTTTTAAGGAAAACATGACAATTTTGTAATGGAAAGACAGTTCACAGGAAGCCCTTGGTCTGCCTGGCTGACAAATTAAAAGCCTGTGTGCATATAGCCCATTAAAATTAATAAATGGGTGTCAAATTATCATTAAATAACATTTATTTATTATTTATTTTGAGCTGGACTTTATAAATGGGTGTCAAATTATCATGTAAAACAAACTTTTAAAAATAATATCTCTATATCAACTTAAAATGGTGTCGACCTTTAAACTTTACACTCGCGCAAAAGCTTTTTTCCCACTGCTAAAAACATTATTTCGCTCATTAAAATTATTAAAATGTTTTTATTTGAACTTTAATTCGAATCAAATTCAATTTGACTTTAAAAAAAATATTTGATTTAAATGAGCCAAAATAAAGTTAAGCAGTTCATAAAAAACAATAATATGTTTATATGCATGTCTCAGATGAGTTGCGATACCTCATAAAATAAGCATCAAACATAAAACAGCTCATATAAAAGTAAGTTTAACCTACCGAGTATGTTGATTCACATTTTTTTTAGTTAAAATGTCATCTTTTCAGCCATTTACTCAAAAGAAAAGGCTCAGGATCATTTAAGCATTTCAGACTTTGTTTTGAGCCATATTTGTGGAAATTGTCATTCCAGTATAATAACATTAGAGGTCATACGTAACTTGGCCCAAACAAGATTATACTTTAATATCTGTGGTGCTTGAGTGTGTTTGTATTTCAATTTTCCCAGAGTCCTCGGAAACACTGGCTTTTTGTTTCTTTCAATATTGGAAATTAAATCGCCTCAATGAAGATTTAAAAAACTGTCAGGCTTGGAAACTTAATTGTCAGGTCTGCTTATGATTGTGTGTGTGTTTGTGTGTGTGTGGCTGAGGCTCTGAAGTTGATGATGAATTCGAACATAAGAGCGAGGCAAATAACATTGCTTTGTTGTTCTTTTTTATTTGCGCACAACACTGTTATTGGCAGGTTGTTGTTTTTCCCCCTCCATTCAATATCCTGAAACATTTTGATATGTTTGCGCACACATTTCATGACCTTATGGCTGAGCACTTAAAGCTTTGGTTGTTAAAGAGAGGACAAACAAATGTCAAATGTCACGTGTCTTTTAATCACATATGTACCAAGTCATTATTGAATACAGTACATCATTGTATACATCTGTTGTCTTTGTGCGTGTGTGTGTGTGTGTTTTTTTACAGCTTAAACTGTATTTCTACTATAGTCCAGATTTAAATAGCTCAACTCATTTTTAGACTAAATGATAAAAAATAACACTTTGATTTTGTACTGTTCAATTTGACTACCCTTTCGTTATGTTGGGGGCTGTTTTTGCCCCATTGACTTCCATTATAACCACATCGATTGATTGCAAAGGCATGACAGCATATGATCATGCATTCTTGATTGTTTCTGGTTTTCCCTGTTGGGAAGAGTTAAAAATTGTGATTTGTACTGTTGATCCTCAGTTGGCAGCATTAACCCTTTAGATAAGCCTTCGCAAAAAGTTTCAGATGTTTTATATGGCGTAAAACAGCAGATTGTAGTGTGTGTGCAGAAATACACACTGTGGGCTCTATTTTGATGGTCTATGCGCAAAGCACAAAACGCAGGGCGCAAACGCTTTCAGGGCGTGTCAGAATCTACTTTTGCTATTTTAAGGACGGAAAAATCCGCTTTGTGCCATGGCGCATGGTCTAAAAGGGTTGATCTTATTTTCTTAATGAGTTATAGGTGTGTTTTGAGAATAAACCAATCAGAGTCTCAACTCACATTCTATTTAAGAGTCAGTTGTGTCACGCCATAAACGCATTTGCTATTTACATGACGACTTTGTAAGTGGAAAAACTGAACACTTCACTAGAAATCAGTTAAACAGAGCATCTGCAGCTCAAGCATGAGAGATGAGCCTCCTTATTATTTACTTGCACTTTCACTCTCGTGGATAAGGAAACGTGTTGTACGAACAGATATCCATTAGCCTATACGTCATTAATTTTGTTTGCTAAGCGCAAAGATTTGTTTCAAAACTATTTCTAAATTCAGATCTAATTTCCAGCAAACGAATAAATGAACAATAATAACGAAGTGTGTTAAAAAACCTGAGTTATATCCAAATACACACGCTGTGCTCCATATTGTTTAAAACCTGCAGGTGGACAAATCTAAGCTTGTTTTTGATAAAACAAATATAAATATGGATATAATAAACAATACTGCTAATAATAATAACATTATACAAGCAAATTGTCACGAATAAACTGAAAAAGCGTCCCGAGATGAAGGCATGGGGCAGTGGTTTTTATATATATGTTGGAAAAAAAAAATAATATGTTTTGTAATATTTTAATCCTTTATATTTATGTCCTATAAATCCTTATTTTATCCTATATATATATATATATAAACCGAGTTCCTGACTCTCAGTGGTCATTAAAAATCCCATGGCACTTCTCGTGAAAGAGCAGGGGTGTAACCCCGGCGTCCTGTATATATATGTAAAGACATTTGTTTATTGCTGTACATCTTGTCTGTAATAAGCAATGTGTAAGCGAGGCGCACAACTAACATGCTCTGTGCTGGACTTTAGACCAGCTTTGTTCTGGTCTATTGAACAATCTATTATTGTTTGTCAAAATAGCAACGAGTCAGCAATGCGCCTTAACAAGCCTCCTTTTTAGACCAGATTGCCTATTGGGTGCAAATATGAGTGCAAATGCTTTAGCTATTTAATAATTCGTTACAGTTATATAGCGCTTTTCTGGGCACTCAATGCGCTTTACACAATGGGGGAGGGAATCTCCTCATCCACCACCAGTGTGCAGCATCCACCTGGATGACGCGACGGCAGCCATTTTGCGCCAGACCGCACACCACACACCAGCTGATTGGTGGAGAGGAGACAGAGTGATGATATGCCAATCATGATATGGGGAGGGTTAGGAGGCCATGATGGACAGAGGCAAGTGGGCAGATTTGGCCAGGATGTCGGGGTTAAACCCCTACTCTTTTTCGAAAGACATCCTGGGATTTTTAACGACCACAGAGCGTCGGGAACTCGGTTTAACGTCTCATCCGAAAGACGGCGCTCACTGAGCAGTATAGAGTCCCCCGTCACTATACTAGGGGCATTAGGACCCACACAGACCGCAGGTTGGGCGCCCCCTGCTGGCCTCACTAACACCACTTCCGGCACTTCCGAATTTAAACAGTGTGGTTCAAAACAACTCCTGCGCCGAGCTGAAACTAGCAAACAACAATTGTGTCGGGTTTATGATAGGGCCCTTAATTTTTTATCATCATGCTTTTTGTACTAACTTTATTAAAGTCAACTATTTATTTATTTTTTTGCAGTGTAATATTATTTTAGCACGTCTGTTTTCAAATAATAGCTGTAATTATTACAATATTACACATTTGGTGCTTCATTAGTCTATCAAATTTACAATTATAGCCTGTATTGAATTTAGAAGACACACTGGAGTCTAGATGAGCAGATTTATTTTAGTTACTGTCATTAGGCTAGATGGGAAAAAACTAAATATAATAAATATTGGAAAAGTGATTGGTTTACTTTTATTTTTAAAAAGTGAATACAATTTGCGTAATAATACAAGTTAAGTCAACTTACAAGTTTCAGTTTGCAGTAGGTTTACTTACAATACTTTTGCAAAGTCAACTTGTTATATATACTTGTTATATAAATTGCCTCTCTGTGTTTTGTTTTTTCTATCCGCTTCACTAGCACTTTTAATTATTGATAATACAAACGTGTGCTTCATAGTCGATCTACATTAAATAGATTAAAAACGCTATGTCTGGAACTGAAAATGTACACTTTAAAGCGCAATAAGTTAAGGTAACTCAAAAACTAATCCCAATGAGTACTGTGAACTTAATCCATTTGAGTAAACGCAAGAATTTATGCACAGTAAAACCAGATAAATGAAGAGAACTCAAAGCAACTGAGTGCTGTAAAACCCAATAAGTTAAGGCAACTCAAACTGTTTGAGAAAACCATTGCTACAAACCATTTAAGTTAAAACAACTAATCTATATGAGTACTGTGAACTTAATCCGTTTAAGTTGAAGTAATTAGGTATTTAATTAACTCATTACCTTCAACACTGAGTTCAAAACTCTTTTCAAATGAGTATAATTTACTTTGAGTACATTTTGAGTTAACTAAAGTTGACTGTTGGGTTTAACAGTGTAATAAAAATAAAGCATTTGCAAAATTTTTGAAAACTGCATGTTATTTATTTACACAGCCATAATTATAAAATTAATTGTAGTACTTGTAGTAGTAGCAATAGTAATACCAGAGTGGAAAGAAATAACATTTAATCAAAATAACCCAATGCATTGGGTGTAAATTTTATAACCGGATGCATTGAGTTAAAATAACTCATAGTTGGGAAGGTGCCATAATTACCTATAGTTGGGTTATATGTACTATTTTAACTGAGTAAATGAAATAATACGAACACATACAGCTTTTGATTTACAATAATGCGTTAGTAATTAACATAATATTTTGAATAGCAATATATTAGCAATATATGTGTATAATGTATAAATGTACAATGCCAATAAATTATATTTTCAGCTCATGTTAACAACTTACCGTAAAAAGTAATCAAACATCTTCCTGTCTCTAAAGATTATTCATCTATTCATGAATATCTACACCCATTGGCCGCAGAAACAGGTGACGACACACAAACTTCTCCACTTCAAAGCTTGTTTACACGCGCGCCCCTCCCCCAACCCTCGTGCGTGCTGACGCAATCTGCGCCGTGACGCTGACGCCGGGGAGGCTGCGATGACGACGGGATTCCACAGTGGGACGGGCCGACTCTGCAAATGGCTACAAGGTGCAATTTGTCGATTTGTTCATCGTTAATCTCTTCTCCTGCGGTTCGAAAGAAAACGTACATCCGCTCTACTTCGCAGGCAGCCTTCAGGTGAGCGCGCTGGGTGCATTTTGCTTGGGATTTGGGTGTTTTTCGGCGTGTTTGAGGCCTTATCTGTGGGGTCCGCCCTCCGCTCGCGACAACAACAACAACAACAACAGACACCGATATACGGGCCTCGGCTGAGAAGAAATGTTAGAAATGTTTCATAAGCGCGGTAAAACACTACCACAGATTTGATGGGTGTTTAATTCAAGCAAAGAGATGTATATTTAACCACTGGTTGAGGAAGAAATGAGGCCTTTTGGCTAAATGTTGGTAGGCTAGTTCGCTCAGTGAAACCGCCGCCGCCGCGCGACTGACTGACTAACTGACAGATAAAGCTAACCAGGTTTACACTGTTAATGCAATAAAACTGAGTATTTAATTGTTGAATTAGCCATGATTGTCATTATAAAGAAAATAAATGGTGCTCATTCAAATGGTGTGATGAAAACTGTGGTTGCCATCTTTCAATCAATGACTGTAGCTGATATAATGCATATTTTCGGTTTCATTTTTGCATGACAGTGCTTCATTATATTATTTATATGCTAATTATATATTCTGCACGAAGTATAATAATTTAGACACACTTTTTATCAATTGTCTTAACCCCATAGAGTAGGTACGATAGTATATGTTCTGGTAGCTTCTTGCATTTCTTAGTGGAGATCATGTAATTATTATGACTGCACAGTTGAAACAATTACTGTGGTATTTTGGTGTAGACTGTGATTACTGTGGCATCATGACTACTTAAGTGATACTTAATGTGTCGTATTAAATGAATGGGTATTTCATAAATTGCAATTGAATCTGCATTAATTATTATTGCAAATAATAGATGCAGTGATGATGATAGTTTCTGGTAGATGACAGCACATTCATTCATTTACTCTACAAGGAAGCTGACTTAATCTTTGTTGTCAGACCAATCCAAAGTTATTCATTTATTGCATTTGTCTTTGTTAAACCCTTCAATTGACAGTTTAATAGCAGATTATGTGCAGTAAAACTACATGACCTATGAGACATGAAAACTGAGATAAAGCTGGTTTCATATTCACACATTCAGACTTTCTCCTTAATATTATAATTTCAGAAAAGTATTCTTTGCAAATTCTAAAAAGCGGAATCATATTATCAGCCAATGACTATCAAAGTACAACAATGTTAACAGTATGGTTGCACGGATTACCGGTACTATGGTAGTATTGTGATACTATTGCTCCAAAATACTAGCGCTGCCACTGTAGTTTGTCATTAATGGTCTATCTATTGTATACAAAATACTGCATGTGGAAAAGTCACTAAAATGCTCACACACTTGTGCAACAATAGACCATTTTATTTGAATAGTTTGTGGAGCCCTTTAAGGTTGCAAACTGTGTAGATTTCACGCCTTTTGTGGTGGCCTATTGCACGTTTTCTGACACTTAAGTTCAAACGTAAATCTAAATCAGTTAATTTCTGTTCCTGCCAATATGATTTAGTAGCTACAACTGCAACAATCTCTGAAAAAACCCAAAATAGCAACAGGAAACATTGAAACTATTTTTGACCACTTCATATAGCCTAATTTTGTTGCGAAAGTGCTCTTTTTGTACCAAATTTCATTTTGTATAATTTGTATCTTTATTTTAATGTTTTTTTTGGTTGGTCAGTTATCTACAAAATAAAAATAAATAATGGGTTTTAGGTGAATTGATGTGCAAATAATACTTTTTCAATAGTAAGGGAATTATGAATTAAATTCAAGGCCTATTATAACATGTAAAATATTGTATTTCTGACAATTTTCTTCATAATTTGAGTTATGAAATGCAGTATCGCAATGCTACTTGGTATCGTGATACTTCAGCTGTCATAGTATTGAAGATGAATCGATGATATCGCGACAAGCCTATCTGGTAGATGACAGCACATTTATTAATTTTCTCTACAAGAAAGCTAACTAATTAATAGGGATGTAACGGTATTGTAAATACCGTCATACCGCAATATTAATTTTTTTCGATATTACCGAAGTCGCATGACTCGGTAAAACTATAGGTCTTCTGAGAAAATTTGCTCAGGCGAATGAAGCGAACGGGAGGTAGCGAAAACTACAATCCCCATCATCCCTTGCGGTCTGTTGTCGCTACAGATCCAGTAATGCGGAAATGGAGTGTGCTGCTAGAAGCGGGGATCAAAAAAAGCTGTAAAACTCTAAGGCCCCTTTTACAAGAGTGCATTTTAGTTTTAAAACGGCGTTGTAGAATGAAAACGATCCGCGTCCACACTCGCGTTTTACCCAGCGTTTCTGAACAGCTCTCCGTCCACACCAAAACGCTGAAAACGCACATCACGTGACCACACACACACTCTCGGGCAAGCGCTCCAGCATTTCTACCCAGATGAGAGCTCTGCTTGTCGGACTGCTCATCAAGCATCTCCCGCTGGATCTAATCTCACTATATTTGCTAAACGTGATATTTCATTCATCTTGTTGTCTTTATCTAACGACATAGGCCAATTCCCTGACTTTGGTCATTGGAATCTATTAAGTTACTTGTTCACGGGTAACATGTTTTGGTTAAGCGCAAAGATAAGTTAATGATTAATCCGGGTACATTGACTGATCGCTTGCCTTTATTTCCTACAATGTATAAACTTATTGTATGTTATACTTTTATAATTATCGATTATTAAAACTGATATTCAACAAAAGAGAGGGTGTGTTTCGTATTTTCACTGAAATTGAAAGGAGGCAGTTGTTATCGGCTCCGTTTTGTTATAAATATGCACACAGTGAAGATGACGCTCATATATGCAGCACGACGCCTCAACATTTCTGCTGTCTGTTAAGTTGCTAATATTAAAAAGAAAATAGGCAGTTCCTTATATCATGTTTACATTTTATTGATGAGAAAGTGAAACAACGTAGCCAGGGTGATGTGAATGAATTTATAAAGTACACTGTTCCCTTTGAAGATTTACCCGTGTCCTCGGTATGTTTTCCATATCAAACTGAGAAGGGGGAGACTGCAGCCTTGATCAAACTTGCGAAGTCTTAACTTACAAGAAGAGGATGCAAGACTGAACTGTGTGTGGGCTACTTAATATTGAGGAAAAGCCCCAATCAGAGAGGCGAATGTTTGCAGCCCCGCCTCCGTTTTCAGATGTCTCCGTCTTTCCCCATCCACACTGAGACGGAGCAGCAGCGTTTTAGAATGAAAACGGCCTCTCCAGCGTTTTCGAAACGCTCCGTTTTCGGCGCTCAAGAAATAAGTCATATAAGTCATATCTCTCTTGTCCCAGAAACCTCAGTACCAAATGAGAGGTTTTTTTTTCTGTTGCAGGGGACATTGTAAATGCCCAGAGATACCAGCTTTTACCAGATTATAGTTATATGATAATTTTCCTTTAAACCCATCTCTATCTAAGTGAGTGAGTGATTAAATGTTGAATGTGATGAGTTTTCAACAATACTAAATTAAAAACTTAAATTTTTTTTTACATGGTTTAATATTTTTTTTGTTATTAAAATTGAAGTTCCTGTTTCAAAGCTTACAGATAGATGGCTAATTTGTATGTCATTGACACTTTTGGCACTTTTTTGGAGTATTTTCATAAGTTTTGTTTTTTCCTGTAAATGATTCAATAAATACCGTACCGTGACATTGATACCGAGGTATTACCGTACCGTGAAATTCTGATACCGTTACATCCCTACTAATTAATGATAACTGATCAATCGAGGTCAGACTAATCCAAAGTTGTTAATTTATTGCATTTGTCTTTGTTAAACCCTTCAATTGACAGTTTAATAGCAGATTATGTGCAGTAAAACTACATGACCTATGAGACATGAAAACTTAGATAAAGTTGGTTTCATATTCACACATTCAGACTTTCTCCTTAATATAATTTCAGTAAAGTATTCTTTGCATATTCTAAATAGCGGAATCATATTATCAGCCAATGACTATCAAAGTACAACAATGTTCACAGTCAAATACATACTAATAATGTTGTTTTGAAGTTATACTTGCATGTTATTTCAGACCGAATATTCAAAGTACCATGGTAAACAAAATAGGTAGCATGTCATAAGTTGTCACTGAACGATTGTGCGAATATACAACCAACTTTACGTCAATGACATGAAAAAGCATGGCACAAAATATCCTAAGTTCTGCTCACCCCAAGAAGGACTGCGAATGACTAATCAAAATATACATAATTTTGATTAAGATTGAAATACATTATTTATAAATACACAACTAACAACTTTTAATGTTAGTCCTATTTTATTGTCATTTTTAATTTCAGGTTTGTCATTCACAGTCATTCATGAGATTGTAGTTCTTTTCTGCTTTTTATCAGATATTTTGTATGTGTTACCGGCCATGTGGGAAATCCCAATGTTGTATAGAATGCCTAGGAAATGTGTAGCATACCTAATGTTTTTAGGCAAAGTTTGAAATATAATATTTTTGTACAAATTTTGCATACTTTTTCTTACACTGTAAAGCCCAAAAAGTTAAGGTAGCTCAAACTATTTGAGGAAACCAATTGCAACAACAATTTAAGTTCAAAAACAAATCTTACTGAGTACTGTGAACTTAATTCATTTGAGTAAACAAAGCAATTTGAGCACAGTAAAACCCAATAAGTTAAGGCAACTAAACGTTTGAGGAAACCGATTGCAACAAACCATTTGAGTTAAAAAACCAATCTATACGAGTACTGCGATTTTACTCTATTTAAGTTAAATTAATGAGGTATTTAATTAATTCATTACCTTCAACAATGTGTTCAAAACTATTTCCAAGTAAGTAGAATTAACCTTCAGTACATTTTGAGTTAGCTACACTCATTTCATTTGATAAAGTTGACTGGTGGGTTTTACAGTGTAGGCATTCTATACAATTACTAGGCGTTATTTGACATGGAAAAAGTGTCAGAAGAGTACAGCTTTTATTGATCATTACGTATTTTAAAGTGGAAGCAATACGAAATAAAGC